CTTCCCCATGGCTTCGCTCCTATGAATTTTTCAGACTTAATTTTTTTCACCCGTAAAAATTCCCCTGAAATTTCGTTAATCCTTCGTACTCGGCGTGATAATGATTTTAATTTCGAGTTGGAAATTTTCGCACGGAGTTAATAACACACATAGTTGGGAGAAAGTTTTGGATTATTCAGCCGAAATTATCTTTGCTTCCCTTCCAGCGGCTGCACGTACATATACTGTGAGATAACATAGTTTCATCGAGGAAAAAAGGTGTGGATGGAGTTGAAATTCCCACCAGCATTTAAATAATTGAGGACCTATTGAAATATGTGACTCCATGGCAATGCAAATATCGTTATCAAACGACGTCCGATCAAACTTAGGGAGAGAGAGAGAGAGAAAAGGATTTGCCGATGCTGTACCCTAGAATTCTATAAATTTTCACGAAGGTCGAACCAACTCGATCGACCTCTTTTTTGCTTCCCTACCTGAAGCGGCGCAAGCCGAGAGAAGGGAAAAATAAGGTCGTCGTGGCTAGGCGCTGTGTATATTATTACCCGGTGGTCTATTTCAGGTGGTCTAACTCGATAATAAAGGGTACACCTGTCACGCTGTATTTATAGACGAAGGGAAGGAGGGTGGATTTTTCACGGCTGGCCGCTCGCCGCGAATAACCCGAGCTCACCTCTTTTTCACCCTCCTCTGCCTCTTCCTTGTGCCGCGCATGTAACCACACGAACGTGCCCTTTTTCCCTTATGGATTCTCGGTCGCTTTTTATTTATTACCGTCGCCGTGGGGCATTGGCGCACTTTACACTCGCTTTTGTGGAAAAAGACTTGCCTTACGATCGCTAAAGATCTTTTTTTTTTTTTTTTTCTCACTCGAGAGTTATAAAAATTTACTCGTCACTTTTTAACAAAAAATTGTTACCCTAACGACATGAATCTCCCTTTCACGTCCCAATAGAGCTCTTTAGAGCTCATCACTCTCGCAATTAAGTACCTTTTCCATTAAAGGCGAAAGGTGTCGGCTGTACGAGAATTTTCGCGCTGTCGAAAGACTTTGGTATGCGTAATGTGACGACGGAGCGACGACCACCTGAAAAATTCACGTTCGCTTCGCGCTTCCGAAATTAACGGCTGCTATTCATTTGATACATATATATATATACATATCACCCGAGATCGTAGTTTTGCGAGGTTTTAATTAACGCGGGGGTGTACGTCGCTCGACTTTGTCGTCCCTGAATTTTAAGCGACTCCTCCTCACTCTGGCGCGGGACGAAAAGCTCGACGCTGAAACTACGCCTAATCGTCTCTCGCGGACTTGCGAATAATTGTTTTACAAGATTTTTTAACAATTTCTGGTTAGTATCTTTTTTTTTTTTTTCTTTCAAAAAATTTAGTGCACTATAAGTTTTATCTGGAAAATATTTTTTCTTCAAGTATAAGTAAGAGAGAACAAAGTGTATTTTTACACGTTTTCTTCGTCTTTTTTAAAATGTAAATTATCCTTCGAAGAAATTTTATTTACCACCGTGTCGTAAGTAATAGAAAACAAATTGGCCTCTTTTGTTCATTTATATTTCGAGAAACCCGTGGAGTTGAAGTAAATTTTATCGTTTCTTCACGCGATACGTTGATTAAAAGCACTAAAATATCGTGTTACATGTTCGATGAAAGCCTCGTGTTTAACCATGGCAGTACCACGCTGTACGTTCGCATCAGCAAATCAAGCCATTCCGAGCGATGAAACTCACTCGAATCACAAGCGAAACGAAACGAAAAACTGTTTTTTCGAGCAGCACCGGCAGAGAGAACTCTTTACTCGATGGAGAATAAAAACATTCAAAGCGATCGGTTTCTCCCTCGAAGCACCGGCTCCAAGTGTATTTTTAAACATCAATAACCCCCCCCCTCTCGGTACAGCAGTGGAGCACGCGGGGTAGCGTCGAATTACTCGAGCTCGATAAAACCCAAAAAGAGCGAGCCCAGCGAGCGAGTGAGCGATAGCTCCAGTGAAAACTCGAGAGTGGGAGGAAGGAAAAAAAAATCCTCTCCTATAACGCCCGCCACTCCACTGAGAGACGCGTACATGCGAAAACATGGAGGGATCGGTACTCTCTGACGAGAGAAATGATGCCGGTGTCCTGATTTTTTCGTGCTTACTTCGAGTTCGAAGGGGCTCGAATAATCTGCGGGGATTTTTTTTTTTTTTTTTTTTTTACCTAAAAGAGTACCAAAACATGCAGAGCCATCGGCCAGAAGAATCGGGCCATTAACGCGCGCGTGGTCACCTCCTTTGTGTGCGAGTTTTTCTTTTTTTTTTGTTTTTTTTTTTGTTTTGTTTTTCAACGCAACTTTGACCGAGAGAATTTGCGCGTGAGGGTGTACGGACATTATTTCGGGTAAATTTTCCATCCTTTTGAGCGCATATAAAACGGACGAACGATGTGAATTGTTTGCGGATGAATTGCCGTTCTTTTGCTTTCTCTTAAGGATTAGGCTTTGAGCACATTAGGTTTAGATTTTTTAAAATATTTTATTTCCTTTGGACTAAAATTGCGTCCAAAAATTTGTTAAAAGTGGCGGAAAATTCAAAAAATTGATTTTCATTAAAATATCGTTAACTTGCATTAAATAAAGGTATTGAGAACGAAAAAGCTTACTGTTCTAACTACAGAAACAATACAGGTTAAAGAACTAAGGGTTTAATTGTTCGTTATAAACACTAAACCTTTTTTTCTGTTGTATTTTTACTAGAAAAAAGTATCCTGGACTCCAGCTGAGAAAAATTTAATTAAAGTAAATAAAAAAAAGAAAAAAAAAAGAAATGTTGATACTGCGAAGAGATATTTAATTTGAAATTGAAAGCATGGAAAAATACGAGTAAACAAAAAAAAGTATCAAAGGGATTGTTGAGCATTAAGTCGAATCGGGTTTTATAGAATCAATACCCCCTACACCAGTCGGTACTAAAATGGTCATTGTAAGAAATAAAAGCTACAGGAACAAAAAATGCACCACGAGTAAAAAAGTCCATAAGTTATCAAAAATACTACGAGGAAAGGTACTGCCTAAAACATCTAGAGGTATTGTATTGTTTCAAATTTATAAAACACACGACGTTTGTAATGAAATTGTATCCCCGATATATATTTATCACCATAGTGAGAAGTTGAATTATACCATGCCTAATATTTTGAGTAAACAATTTTTTTAAAGTTTACAAAATTTTTATTGATTTCCTAGTCTTAAAAAATTAACTAAAGATTTTAATACAATTTTGATTGTTTAATGAGATTAAAATGCCTTTTTATTGAATCTCAAACAGATCTCAAATGTTTCGCTTGAATAGCTGTTTGTCAAAAGATACTTTTGGAAACGAATCTTTCGAAAATTCCGAAAAGATTTCGATCTTTTTCACGCGGATACTTCTGTGGCATTCAAATCGGTTGTCAGAGAAATTGAATGCGATAAAAACGGGAAAGTTCGAAAATATGAACTAGGGGCGTCTATGAGAAGGCCCATAAACTGTTATGGTACTTGGCAGTTTTATACGCAAAGGAAGCTGTTTACTCCAGGTAGCCACGGCTGCGATAAAACTGCCGACAACTCGACAGTTACGGGGTGACATCGCAACTCGCAAAAATATGTCTCGAAATTCCAGGCTGCGAAATCCCGCAGGTGAAAAATCCAAAAAATGCATTTGATCCTCCCCTGCGACGGTGTATCTCTTTGCGCGCTCGCGTCCTCGCATTTCGCGCGAAATCCAATATTCTTTATTCTCGCAAAAACGTCAAATTCTTCTCGGAAAACTATGCACCGTTCAAAGTGAGCCATCTTTTCTCATTTCCCTGCATCTATTGGCAAAATATTTTCTTCCGCGATATTGCATTCAAATGCATACGTCTTCTGGATGAAAACGAGCACGCAAACGCGAAATCCCTCGATTGTCCAAACAATCACTCGTACCAGTTTAACTTTGTATCTTTTTTCATCAGCACTTCGACTTCTTCGCCGCAATTCCTTCGTTAGTTTTTTGGTTCACGCAACCAAAAACCCAGCCAGACTCTCATCCCGACTCGAGTCCTCTTCTCTCGATTGTCCCAATCGACGCAATTATCTTCTACTGACAGGGAAAAGCCGTCGACCCGTATACTCTCACGTCCAGCGCCTACTAAAAGCTCGAGCTTGCGTACACCACCCATTATCAAAATTTCATTAAAGATATCCGTCATCCGCCATTGAGATTCCGAGCGTTGGTATCGTGAAAGTCCACCTCGGAAGTAAAACCTGGCCAAATCGACGTGCCGCTCGAATATTCAGGGACACCCCGTTGGCAGTGCAAGCAGGTAGCGGCCATCAAAAGCTCGCTCTCGCTGGAACTTTTTACGGCGAGGGGTTCGGTGCAACTTTTTCCCCGGGCTTTTTCGATGAAACACGCGCTCGTTCCCGTCTAATGTTCCCCTCCGCCCGAGGCGATCGCTCGAGTTTTATTTTACGAGGAGCGCCGATCGGCCCGAGAGTCCTGTTTCTCACGTGCGTGCGTGTGCTTCGCGGCGAAATTTTTAATTCAGGATCGCGTGCTGCACGAGATTTCTTTATGATTTTTCTCTCCGGTGAAATCGACCGTCCGACCAAACGCGGGTACTTACTACTTGGAAGATTTTTATGGTACACGCGCATCGGAAAAGAGCGATATGAAAAATTTAGGGATCCCCTGAACTTTTATCACTCGTACGTAGCGACGAGGTGCCGTTTCGCGAAACTGCTCGGCTATCTCGTGAAAATTTTGCGGTCCCGATAGATTCGACCGGGGTACCGCTCTCGTAATGGAGCTCTAAAAGGACGCTCGTACAATCGTTGTTTTTCGATCGGTGAGCAGGGGGGGGGGAGTTGGATATATACATTTTTTTTTTTTTTCATTTGATAAAAAAGAGCATATTGTGTAAATGTATTTTCCAGAACTTTGATGAAATGAGTAAGGGTGAGTGAAAAAAAAAACTTACCGAGCAACGATGCAAAGACCATGACGAAACAGGTGCCCAGGTAGACATCGATGGACTTGACGTAGGAGATTTTCGGTAGCGCCGCGTTGGTCGAGGACATGAGGGTCGTCATGGTGAGCACAGTGGTTACTCCGAGGGAGACCCGAGCGGGGGTCGCATGTCGGTTTAGCCAAAAGCTCACCCACGAGATTATGACGATCAGACCCGAGGGTATGTAGATTTGAATCAGGTAGTAGCCCATCGAACGGACGAACTGGATCTCGCAGGCCAGTCGCGAGTAATTACCTGTGAATGAGACAGCAGAGCCACATGTTCGAGTTCCCCCTTATTGCCAATGACCCAGCTTGCTTTGTTTTTCATTTATTCGTTTCATTGTTTGCTCTGCCCTTTAATATTTCATTTTTTTTTTTTTTTCATACGCTTTTTATTCCCCTTTGCCTCTATAGCTTTTTACTTTGGTGCTTTTTACACTTCACTTTGCCTTTTGTCATTGCACTTGTCCAGCGTATTTCTAGCATATTTCGCTGGTGGGATTTTTCTTACTTTCACTCGGATGTCGGAGACACGAAAGACGATGCCACACATGTGTCGGAAATTGTGCCCCCTGTCGTTGCTGACGTCCATAAACACTTTTCTCGTGGGTTGATTATGAGTTTTGAAAAATTTTCTCATTTTTAGGAATTGAGTATATCCTGACGGTGCTTACAGAGCGACTAATAAAAAATAATTTGTCATGACCTAAAACTCGTTTAGAAATTCTCGTTCTAATCATTGCCTCCTCCACACTTTTCGCTCGAAACAAAACTACGGGCGGAAAAAGCGAGAGGATAAAAGTGCTGCGCAAAAAGAGGCCCTTATCGACTAGAGCGAAACGAAAAAAAAAAAAAAAAAAAAAAAAACGAAAGATAAATAAAAGTAAATGGCACGCATGTGCAGGGGATTAAAAAAAAGACACGAAAATTTCATTTGTTGCTCCCCAAATTTCCAATCCCCGTCGAGCAAGGCCGACAAGCCCGGGCATCGGAAAACAAAACGCCGATCGAAAGAATATTTATGTTTATAGCGTTCATTCCACCGGGTGTCCGAACCATCGGGATTTCATCCCCTCCGTTTTTCCAGCTGCTTTTACTGTCATCCGAAGATTACTCTCGCGATTGAGTACACGCGCCCGTTCCACTTCTTTTTTATGTACGAGTCGCACGAAAAAAAAAAGGAAAATTCCCGCAAACCAAAATCGATCGATCGAAAATACTCTGCAAGCTCATCTGTAGTCCACAGCAATTCGTACGTGCGCATCAGTCCCGCCCGAGAGCCGCTCCCGAATCGTCTTGCCACTGCATAATGTCGGCCCCGTCTTATCTCCAACAGCACCACCATCTAGTACCTTTGAGCGAGAGAAACCCTCCGACTAATTATTTAAACTTAATTAACCAATTTCTCGCGGCTATAGGGGGTGTATGAACCCCCCCGTTATCTCCCTCTGTTGCCTCCAGTTGTACTCCCGCGTAAAAATTTTTAAGTGTGGCCAAACTTTGCCAAACTTTGCCAATGAGACTTTCCCAAACTTTGTAGGAAACCAAAGTCCCTCCCCCCTGTAACAGAATAATCCGTAATGACGAGGGGAAAAAGAGCAAAAACAAACGCACTCCGCGAAGATGAAAAAGATTAATCTCACGCGGTCCCTTTTTATGCCAACGTGTCGCTCCTTTGCGTCGAATTTCGATTTTTCCGCGGCTCTGTTCCCTATATCCACACACCCTTAGGTACACGTCACGACAAATCCCAATCCGCGTAAAAGCTTGCGAGCGCAGTACTTTGCGCCCCGAAAGAAAGGAAAAGAGCAAAAGGGGAAGATTTTACCTTTTGCAAAAGAAAGTTTCGCGTTAGCGTAGTGCTCGGTGAGCTGGAAAGGGGTACACCCCTTCGCGGCAAAAAGAGGGCGCGAATGGTAAAAAAAAAACAAAAAAAAAAAAAACACCCACTGCGCCGTAGTGTCGGTGAAATGAGTTTCGTTGATCTTTTTTTCTTCTTCTTTGTTGCGTTTGTCAAAAGTCGATTTTGGATTTTTTCGGCGGGGAAAATCGAGCAGAGTCTTTCGTAATAAGTGTACATGTGTACGGGGAGGGGTCCACGTGGTCGAGGCGAGGAGAAAAAAAATTAGTTTTACTCACGGTTTGCTTGGGCGCGTGATCGCCGTGGTCGCCGGGCATGCCGGGCACACCCGGTGGCACTGGATTCTCCCTCGCCGCTTTCATGCTCTCCGCTATTTTCTGAAAGCGGTTCTTCCGCATCTGGATCCTTTTCGCCATGTAGCCGACCGTGGCGTACTCTGTTCACCAGAAAACACACACGCTCGATTAATGTTGCATTCATCGTGCAAATACAACTTATCACCATCAAAGTTCTGGCTCATTTGCGCACATTGTAATCATCATAGGTATACAGGTAATATATAAACACTGCATTGCTTTTTTTTCCAACTCGGTGCATAAGCGTATACACACAACCAAATTGAAAGCGCTGACGCAGAGTCGATGTGTTCGACTCGCTTAATTGACGAGCGTAAATTTGATCCAACCCCTTGTTCGGAAACATTTGTATGATCAACAAGGCGTTTTACCCGACAAAATACACAGAATCACGGTCTCGTCACGCGTGCGAGTAATATTCGATTCAGCTGTACCATATAAGTAGGCACACAACATATTTATAAGCTGTGTTTTTACCCACCCTTTGGCGAACAGCGTCGATTAATTTAGGACCCAACCCTGCCCCTTTTTTGGTTTACAACAGCTTGCACATCGTACCAGTATGGGTAATGATTTCCAGTTGCGCCGACTAACTGGTTATCGCAATACTGGGTCAACGAGATGTAAATTGTAACTGCCGGTCATCCGGTGACCATACTAAAATACGACCCCGAGGCATGAGGGACAGTGTACATACATTTGTTTCAAACGTGCGTGCGCGAACAACATGTCCACGCGTATACAAGTCAAACACCTCGTGGGGTTGGGGGGGCTTTAATCGAATATGTACCGTAACGGCCCAATATTGCACCAGTGCTGTTGATGATGTAAACTCTAATATACACTCTGTCGTTGCTGTACCTGAAAACTACACGGCAGTGCCAGAAATGAGTTTCCCAGTTGTATACACGACTGCGCCCCTGCGGGTGCTGGAAAAAATTAATAGACGCCGACACCCGTGGTGGCGCAGCTGAAAACTCGTTCTAAATGTAAAACGAATCGCCGCATACAGAACTCATCATTTCTCGTGACTTTTTGCTCGGAATACACGTGCGCGACATACAGTTGCACACACGGTTGTGGAATTGTTATTTGTCGTTGGAAGTTGGGGAGAGGGGGGGGGCGTAGGTGACAAATTTCGGAAAATGAAATTTTGGGCGGTACCGGTGGTGGGGAAAGCGTGTATATTTTTTTGATTAAAGCGAATCGAGGCTACGCCTATGTATGTTGCGTGCCTTGTTGTTTGCCAAATTTTGGTCTTTGTCGCGTGTCCGTCTGTCCGTTCGATTAAAACTGTCGGTTTTCGGAATTTAATCAACATGGTCGATGCTCGAATTGCCCTACTGTCCATATTTTGGCTTACATTTTTAGTTAATGAAACAAAATCTTGCATACTTTCTTCGGAATGTCATTTTAATCCACCAATAGTTGCCGTAGTGATAAACAGCGTCACTTTACCGTACGACTGCAGTGTGGGTGAAATCAGTAGCACCACGCGAGATGACAGGGGAAAATAAAGGAGGACCAGGATTTTTAAAAGGCCTGCCACGTTTTGGGTGTACGAACGTGGGCCGACTAGCGCAAACTGCAAAACAAAGGACTTCGGTATCCTGAGGGCGGAAGGGGGGGGGGGTGAGCAAAACAAACGGTCGAGAGCGGAATAAAGTATCATATACACACGGGTACAGTTCAGTGTCCGTGTGACGCGCTGACACGAAGAAGAATTTTAATCTGCCCTGCGGGGGGCGAGCAAAGTCGCTAAAACGAAGGGGGGGCGATACAGCACCCGGTAAAACAGAGTGGGGGGGGGGTGCCAAAAATCTACGGAGCCATCAGCAGTGCGCTTTCTTCGTGCTGCTCGGTTGAAATGCATATAAAAAGTCGTCGGGGAGAGGATTGGAATCCTTTCGGAGAGCTCGGGAAAGTTTCATACGACTCGAGTGTTCCGGTTCGATTGAGAATATGCCCCCCTCCCTCCCCTTTTCTTTTCGTTTTCAGCTTTTCTTGCGCCGTTCGCAGACAAAGTTGGATAAAGTTTCCTCCCGCGACTGCCAAATCGTTGCCGGGCATTATCCGTCGACCGCGAGTTTCTTACTTTTCTCGTGCCACTTTCTTTTTCCTGCTACCGCCTCTTTTAATTCCCCCCCCCCCTCGACTCCTCGCGCTGTCTTTCTGTTTTGCTGTACAGTAGCGTATATTTTACAATGGGAAAAAAAAGAATCAGTTCACTGATTTATTGCTAAAAAAGATTTTATATTGTCCCTCAATGGACCCAACCTCAATTGTTTGGGTCCACACTCTTCACCACCAGCTTATTCAAGACCGCGATAACAAACAAGCGAGCCCTACTAGCTCTAAAAGGGGGCTGCAGCTTAGCGTCGTCATCTCATTCCACTCCATTTCCCATAGTGAGTATACACGCGACTCGATATTTCCAGTTACGGGTTTAACTTCGATTGGGCGTCGAACTCATTAGGCTAACGCCTTCGAACTTTCTCCCTCACCCCCCGGATCCGCGTACAAACTCTGGCTTCCCTAGCTTGCAGGGATATATGCATCAGGTACTCGTATACACACGTACAAAATTCGCGAACGGTTTTGCTGGAATTCATTGGGTATGTATTTATATTCCTTTCCCGTATACATAGGATATCTCTGACAGTGGCCTCGATCAAAGTTTCAAGCTTTTTTTTTATGCACATATATATATATATATATATATATTTGCAACATCGCTTCTTTGTTATCTAATTAGGTTGATTTTTTTTGTAATTATTAAACTTGAAATATTCGCCGGTTTTGAGCATGATTATTTATCCATTTAAAAATCATTTTTCTACTTTCGTGGATAACAGATAAATATCATTGTTGATGCATAATATTTATTTCTTCGTAATAATCTTCGATATTTTCACGGGTTTAATATCGTTGATAAATGTTATATTGTTGAATTAATTATATTCTTCGTTTCGCTTCATTTATTATAAAAAAGTTAAAAGTTAAAGTGTTTTTGCAAAAAGGTAATTAGTGCAAGACGCA